ACATAGAAATTTTACCACTTCAGGTGGTTATAATTTCTTACAAACTCCATTAGAGTTATAATCAAACTTTGTTGTCTTTGCTTGTATATAAAATCAAATTATAGAATTTCAAGAATTTAAAAGAGAAAAATAAAGTAAAATACTTACCTTAAATCCAGAATTTAATCATGAAGAAAGTTCATAGAATAATTGACCATCATTATGCTCAATCCCGAAGCTTCTACTCAATTGGTTAGAGTCTCGTGCTGATAACCTGTTATGAAACAATAAATGAAGAAGAAGCATATTGCGGAGAAAAGCATGGAGAGATAATTCTTATTGATTTGGGAGTGAATTGCAATGGAATAAAACCCTCTATTTATAGGGAGAGGGTGACTTAGCCACCAAGTAATAAACCCTAGAATTTCTCTAAATATAGACATTCACCATAAATAAAATTCTATTTATAACACATTTTCAATTACAAAGCCTAAAGTGGCAAGCTCGCACTATTACTACACTTTTGCTAGATGTACTAAATTTGTGTAGACCAAAACCTTAGGGGGAAAAATGGTCCGTTAGCAACTTAAATTTTTATTTTTTATTTTTTGTGGTTGAAACAGGAAATATTTTATTAAATACTAAGGGATATTACACAAATCACTCTCAGCCATTCCATTGGAATCGAAATTGTGAGATATTACAAAAGTAGCAGTACTATTAACAGTATTAACATTCCTCATACTAGCCAGTATATTACATACTTCTTCCGATATGGACCTAGAGTAGATTGTCCCTTCAGCATATACCTACACAATACAAATAATTTACCGGATTATACCCATGTTAAATTATGGAATTTTTACCTCCTATAGCAAAGGTTAACACCTTATTTATTTTAAATAAATACCATTTAAAAAAATTATATTCTATAGATAACTTGTAAGGTTTATAGCAAAATATTTAATTTTGGTTACCTCCTAGCCCTAAGCCACTACATACGCTAATCAGTTACACAATTTTCTTTCTCTCTCTACTTTAATACATCACATTCTCTTCCCATCTCCAAATAAGCTCCTGAATAAAGCTTTTCAAGCCGTCTCTTCCCACTGGAAAATCTAACACAGTTGCAACAGAAATGGCTCGTGTAGTTAAGCCTCTAATGAATTGGTCAAAATGGCATCACTATTTATACGTTCGAGCCTCATTCATTCACCTGGTTCAATCACCAATTCCACTCTTCTCGAACACCAACGTCTGTCAACAGCCGTTATCCACGGCATCACATTCCGCTTTCCGCCAAGCTCATTTTCGTGCCGGCGCCACCATTAAATCCATCGGAGAGCGACAGTGATTCCGATGGCATAATGAGGAAGATACGCCGAAAATTAGGATTTGTTCTTGAACAAAGACGACGGAGTTTGGAGCTGAGCAACTTGATTTTCTGTTAATATATTTCAATGTATTTTCATGTATTTCATTGTATTCATTGTCTTTTTTTTCATTGTAATTCAATGTATCTCGTTGTATTCCATGTATTTTATTGTATTCACTGGGTTTTTTTTTCATTATATTTCAATGTATCCCGCTATATTCTATGTATTTCATTGTATTCACTGTCTCGCTACATGCCATGAATGTATTCATATATCTTTTTAATTAATATAATTTATGTATTCAGATGTATTATATAATTTTTCTGAAAATTGCTATATTTTTGGGATATTTTTTGGTTGAGAATCTTTTTTATAACTGAAAATACAAATTTTGTGTGTTATAATTGAGTTTGTTGAGTTATATTAGGAGTCTATTATGTTAATTGATTCGCTTTCCCTTTTAAAAACAGTGTAATCCCCTATTTCACGCCGTGAATACAGTCGAATACGGTCGAATACAATAATCTGTCCAGCCGTAATCCCATGTTTCACTCTATGAATACAGTCGAATACACTCGAATACAACAACTGATTAGCTGGACTTCCCTGATTCACGCCTATTTTTGCTATTGTATTCATGAATACAATAGCTTAAATACATCAAATACATCTTATAACCACATAAAAGGTATCTATAATCCGTAATATAGCAAATGATATCTATAGATGGCTAATTACTACTAAAAGATAGTGTTTTATGAAAATTTCTCTTAAATTATTTACTCGTTATACCCATTCCATAGCATGCCATTAATTGATCTTCCGTCTTTTTAATTCTTTCTTTATTTTCTCCTTTTCTTTCTATCTCGTTTCCTTTTCTTCTAATTTCATTTATTTATTTTTCTCATATTAATATTTTATTTATTTATTTTCTCCATAATCTTGTTCCATTCGCTCTTTTGGATCGTTTCTTTTCGATAACTGATATAGTATATCTTTTATATATTTTGTTATTTATATATCAATTATCTAAAAATAAATTAGACATTGTAATTTTGTTCTCTTTTTCTTTTTTCTTTCATTTTTATATTATTTTTATATGCGTGTATAAATGTAAATGTTTCTAGCACATGTATACCAAAATAATATATTAATATAAAAAATAAAATATCAGTGTATTAAAAAACTATATTAGTGTCAAAGACAATAGTATACCCAAACGATATATAAATATATTAAATAGGTATATTACTATTTTATGTGTACTCCTTCGTCTACTTTTGAAGTAGTCAATAATACCTCCAGAAAAGTCCATCAAACACCTCATTTAGGAAAAAGTTTGAAAAAGCATGAGAATTCTACTCAAAATTTCAAAAAGGGCCTAGCGGAAAATTTTAAGAAATTTAAAAAGGACCAAAATGTAATAGTATAGTGTTGCATTATACTATATACTATAACGGTATACTATTACGTTATATTGTATACCGTAGTAATATACTATTATATTATAACCGTATACTATTACGTAATACTATATATTATAATGGTATACTATTATATTGTACCTGCTTAATTAATTATTGTATACCCAAATGGTATACAATTTACCATTTCGCCATACAGTATACATCAATTTGACCTAAATTTCAAATTTTGATTCTAAAATCTCCATCAAAATTGACTCAAAATTTTGCCACAACCTTCAATCAATAAAAACTACAAATTCCACGAAACCCAATTTATCATGAGCTTCAAAATTCAAGGTTTTTTAATGGTGGATCTAATTTTCTTAAACACATTTTTAAAAATCAGCACTAACACCGCAATCTGCACATTAAAGAACAACACCCAATAATTTCTAATAGCATAACTTCTCAAAGGTACTATAGACGATATATTATGACACCCAGTTCAAATCTAATATTAAAATAGTTGAAAAATCATATATTTGGAATTTTGAAACAAGACTTCAAGAAAATCTCTAAAATTTTATTTTAAGCCAAAAACACGAAATGCAAAATCCGGGCAAGCATGGGATTTTGATAGAAAAGTGACGAGGTTACATGAAAAATAACTGGGTCATCTGGATTTCATAGACTATCAAAAGAGAAAGCTCTAGGATTTTGCACTCAGAGGTGATAGAGAATGGAGTAAAAGGGAATAGGTAGGCCGGGTGTTTCAGCCGAATATGTAGTTTTTGTAACAAACTTTCATATAAGTAATTACGGATAATTATTTTGGGTCGTGGGAGCATTTAGTATAGTTTTCCCATCCTTAAATGCATATATCAAGAGACTCTATCAACATACGGGATTCTTGAAAGTGATAGCAAATAATTGTGATTCATGAATGATGAACACATAGTTTGCTCAGAACACTGAACATGATTAATATGGAACATTGACAATGACATGTTCTGACATGAATATGTACATGCAGTAAATGATTTTTAAACCAACAAGTTACCTAATGTCTAGAACATTGATCAAATGCACTTTTGGATAAGCGAATTTCAAACAGATAACGTATATATATAATTACTTGTAGCATACGATTGATGTTCATGCGTTTCATTGTAGTTCCTACCTAGAAGTAGCTACTGGCTGATGATTGCGTCATGACTCCAGATTTCAGATTTAGGTAAATTCATACTCCGCTACTTAACAATATATGTACTGTAATTAATTGTATTTACTTATTTTTTTTATTGATTGGTTTGGTTTGGTTAACAAGCTTTGAGTAAGGAACAACGTGTAAAGCCGCTCACTTTTAAAAAATACGAAAAAGAAGAAGTTTAGCAAATTTCTTCGTCAAACAAACTTGATATAATGAACAAACTAGATTTTCTAACAGTAGGTTACGAACACTTTAAGCGTATACATATGAGTAGTCTGTGGGTATAGTTAAAAAAGATAGCCAGACTAAGTAATGCAGGAATACAATAACTATTATTTTTGCGACAGGATAAAATAAATGTATTAGCAATTAGCCGAAAATATTTAAATACATGCTATTCACTGCATTAACATATCTTAATTATTATTCACCACACTATAACTAGCCTTGAACCAAACGACCCTTAGATTTCACAATATCATATCCAAGTATGTGTTCCCAATACAGTTTATTGGTCAAAAATACTCCCTCCGGTCCAAAATAAGTGATTTTTTTGAATGTTTTCACACAAATTAAGAAATTCACCTTTTAGCATTAATTAGTAATGAAATTGACTCCTAACACATATTCCAACACTATTTACTCCAAGGACAATGTAGGAAAAAAATAATTAGTTCATTCTTGAAATCTGGAAAAATCACTTATTTTGAACCACAAGAAAAAGGCTAAAAAATCACTTATTTTGGACCGGAGGGAGTAATAATTTAAATCGTAATATCACGACTCATAAGTACCCAAATTCCAGTGACATGTAAGCCCATTTAATTATGTAAAAGAACAAAGAATCAAGTTTGTCGCTCACTGATAAAGGAACTTTACTAATTAGGGGGAAAAGCAGGAAGAAGAAAAAGTTTTCAAGCATTTTAAAGAAAATTGCTATGCTGATCAACCTCAGGCTTAATGAGTACGCAACCTGACAAATTGTACTCCTAATGTTTATCACTACAAAATATAGACGACTCTCCAATATGAACGCCAGCTAATAATGTACAGTATCTCACATAATGGGAAAGTTAAGGAATTTTAGCTAATCATGACCATAATTCCAGTCTTAGACCAAAACATATTCTCCATAAAAAGAGTAAATCATTACACATATAAAAGAGTAAACATATTACTAGTAGTAAATAACAAGGGAAAAAATAAAAAATGAAACCAGTAATCAGTCGCTATTTACTCTATGTACTTTTTAGAATCAGAAATATTGACCCAAAAAAAGGAAAAAAGAAAAGGATAAACATGATATGTGAAAACCTCAATTTGGATAAATGACGTTGATCAACTTTTGATTTCACGGCTAAGGGTATCAGCTGTAGACACCATCATCTTCTGATCAGGTGGGACCATGACCGATGTCATTGCTGTAGCTGGCACGAAATTGTAGACAGGTTGGTCCATATATTGACCGCCACCACCCACTAACCCCTGCACACCAAACTGTCCAAACCCAGTTGCATGATACCCACCAGTCATCATCATTGGTACCCCGTACACCATCTGCACCGCATTACCATAGGCCCCACCTGTCACGTGACTTTCACGGAAGCCTTGTTGTGTTTGAACATTCTTCACCAGCAAGCTACTGCTGTCACGTACTATCTCTGATCCAGAAATTTTCGGAACTGCCACTGTGCCGCCACCACTTTCCTGATTTTTTGGTGTATCCATAACCGAATTTTCTGGAGCCGCCGATATTCCTGAGATTTGCAATTGCAGAAGATCCGCTGTTGTCGTTAAACTTGGGTTCGGGTTAGAGTTCGGGTTGTATTCCTTATCGAACCCGAATAGAAAATCCGGAGTCGAAGGGGATACCGGTAACCGGATTGGGTAGAAAAGGAAGAGCCTTAACCTAGCCGTTTTTGTGGTAACTTTCTGCATGCGATCGTATTCAATCATCATCTGCTCCACATCATCGTCATCAACAAGGGAAACAAGTGCATCGAGATCTTCACCAGGCAACTGGTACTTTATACAAATCTCTGCGTTGATATTACACAGAGAATTCAGCTTTGCAACCATGTCGGCAAACTTGACGTTCCGATCAACGGTGAGGATTTTGGTGTCGCCGCCGACGTAGGAGAGCTGATGGTCGTGAGGGCGGAGCTGAATTTTTCCGCCATAGCTACACATTAGCTTAACTTTTTGATTCTCCATAGCCGCCGCCAAAATTCGAGCGAGAATAAGGGAGAAGACAGAGGGTTTGGTTTTTTGGGCTTTTGAGATTTTCTGAGAAGTGTTAGTGTGTGTGGCGATACATCGTTGAGTGATAGTGGCTCAGGATAATAGAATTGAGAATTTGAGGGTTTGATCTTTAAAAGGAGTATAAGTGGGTCCACGCGGAAAGAGATTTACGCGTCGGCGGCCCAGTAAGTATGGCCCACTGTAGTAAATTTGAGAAGTATCAGATGAAGGGGAGCTTCTGAAAACAAACTTTAGAGAGGGAAATTTTGGGTGGGATTAGGAAGATTGTGGATATATTTTTTGCCTTTTTAAGGATGTGGCCAGTTCCCTTAAATCAACATTCAAAAGGAAAAGAATTAAAAATGACAAGGACTCTCTCTTTTGTCAATCTTCAAATTCAAAACTTAATGTTTGCCCGCTAATATAATTCTTTTGTGCATTTTCACCTATTCACAATTTGACATGAAGTTTTGTCGTTTATCCTAACAAATGGGATATGTTTAGTTGTGACGTCTATTTTCGAAAATTGTTACTAAAGATTTTTTGGAATTCCTGCAAATATTTCTTACTCTAGTGCTGTTTGATTGCACAAACCACGGGTGATCATAAAATCAGAAAAATCGAACCAAATCGAAAATCAAACTAAACCGACCCAAAAAATTGATACTTTTTTGGTTTGGTTTTGTTTTGGTTTTGAATTTTAAAAATCGATCAAATTTGATTTGGTTTTGGTTTTAATAAAAAAATAATCGAAAAAATCGAACCAAACCGACTATAGAAGTAGCTATTTTAAAATTTATAATTACACCTATATATATATATATATATATATATATATATATATATATATGTATATTTTTATACAAAGTTTCTAAATTTTATGGTACATGTTAATGGTTTGCACTTTTAGTCTAGTTCTTTGCTATTATAATAATCTAGTTCTTTGCCTTTACATTCTAGTTTGATTGGTAGTTTTCTTTTGCTAAGTACATAAATCTATTTCATGTTAAAAGTAATTTATTTTTAATTGAGTTCTTAAATTTCATTACTATTTGATAGTGTTACGTTAAAAATATAGTCACCGAAATATGTATTTGGTAGAGTATGCCTAATATTTTAAAAGTCACCGATAAATAATCGAAAAAACGATAAAAACCAACATAAACCAAATTGATAAAAACAAACTTAATTGATTTGGTTTGGTTCCAATATTTGAAAAACTGACTTACTTAATTTGGTTTCTTTTTAAGGAAAACTCGATCCATACCGAACCATGAATACTCCTACACAAAACAAAGTAATTTCTGTAAAAACTGAAGAAAAAAAAAATCCAACAAAATATTTTCGTCTGTTATCTAAACTAACGCACCTGTGCTTTAGGAAAGTCGTTCGAAATCTTTTACACAAAACAACCCCCCCCCCACCCCCCACCCCCCAAAAAATAATGAATTAAAAAGCATATTTTGGTTCAAACAAATTACAACGAATATTGTCACGATCCAAACTCATGGCATATATTATCCGTTTTGGCGCAATAAATCTTACAGATTTGTCTCTTGGATTACGCTATTATCGAGCCTAAAGCGCGCGTATCATATCAATTTGTATTGTGCCTTATAAGGCTTTTCACTTTTCTCTCCCATTTCGATGTAGGATTCGTCTAAAGTTACATGTGCCTCCCCTTCTTAGGAAGCTTGCCAGCCTAGCTAGAAGCCTTTCGGTCCTGCTTAATCCGTCCTCATAAGTTCACTCTTTGTCATGTGACACCCTGGACGAATCCTATATCAACAAAATAGGGGGGAAATATATACTGGGTATGTAAGTAAACAAACCTAGGATCCTAGTTACGCATTTTAAAGCTGTGTGGGTCTAGATTCATAACAAACAATATTACTAGTGGGCTAGACTGTTATAAATATTTTTTTTTCCTAAACCAAAAACGATCTGAAAGTAGATTTTTACAAAAATATAAATAGTTTTTAATTGGAAAGTTAATAGAATATGCCCGATCTCTTTTTCTTTAAAATTAATGTTCAAAAGTGTTTTGAAAAGTATTTTTCAAATATTAAAGGTAAACCACATTCAAACGATATTTCAGGTTTGACGGGTGAAATTAAAAAATGGAAATTCAAATAAGATAACGAAGGATATGGACAGTTGATGGGGATGGGCGTGCGGTGCTGGTGGGGTTGCGACTTACGACGACTTAGGCCTTGCCCCACGCCCAACGATCTTATATCTAGTCTTTGAATCTAGTCTATATTGGAGAAAAAATATCTAGTCTAAATTTATTCTCCAAAAAAATATTTTTTTTAAAAAGAAAGAGAAACGTAGTCTGATTAAAGTTTAGAATTAACTCATTTCTTTTATTTCTAAAAAGTTTAATTGGTTTAGGATTTGAAAAGAAAAGCTTCACCTAACCTTTCAAAATTTAAGTAATGGAATCCACTTCTTCAATTTTTCCATCACTGAATTAGAGTAAAGATTTTGCTGGAAAAGAAAGGAATTACCGCAGTCTCAACTATGAATTCTAGAGCCGCTTAAAATTTAAAAAGAAAAAGTAATGAAGATCAACGTAGTAAATAAAGCTAAGAAATTGGTTCAAAGGAATATAATAAAAGAAAAATAAATTGTTAGTCTATACATGATGATGGTATAGTTTTTGTTTCTTTCTCTTCTTTTTATTTGGGGATACAAACTTGAATCCGAAGTCCAAACAAGTCTGAAAGAGTTCTCTCATCCTGTTACATGTCAGATTCTCCTTACTTCCTTTTTGCTAATGAAAATGGCATATTTAATTAGTAATAAATGAGTATTGACGACAGCTGGAAAGCAGCAATCTAGAGAATGTGCCATTAGTACTAGCATTTTGGGATCAGAAACTTTAAATACAAATTGAAGATTGTAATTTATGTACAATATCTTGTAGGGATACTAAAACTTAATCCCATATCTTGTAGGAATAAAGTTCCAACCATTATTCTATCTATTAGATATATATCAGCATAAATAAATGAACATATTATTCCACTATTAAGTAAAATGGGTAGACTGTTATATATTTCTTTACTTTAGTAGTAAAGGAAGAGAATATGTGATTAGCATATGTGAAATCTTATTAACTAAGTAGCAATTGTATAGAACAAGAGGAGGAGGATAAGAAGAGAATAAACAGAGATGAGGAGGAAGAAGATGACTCAGAGAGAGACGAGAGAAAGCGCAAATAGAGTGAATTAGATTTTATTCATATCAATAATCTGATTTTCAATATGTTACAATGAATCATTTATATAATCTAACTAATGAGCTTAACTCACTAAAGATGATCTTAACAACTATTTAGCCTCCTTAACTAACTTTAACTAACTCAGTGTGTAATAACTAAGTTACCCCTGCATTCTAACAGTGTTATTTCTCAACACTCCCCCTCAAGCTAGGTAGTGTAAATATGTTGTAAACTCCTAGCTTGGAACTTAGATAGTTGTGTTGAACTTTACATAACCCCTTAGTAAGTAAATCTGCTAGTTGATCTTTGGTGTTGATGCACTTAGTAGTTATCAAACCTTGTGTGATTTTTTCTCTAATAAAGTGACAATCTATCTCAATGTGCTTAGTACGTTCATGATATAATGGATTAGCTGCAATCTGCATAGCAGCCTTGCTATCACTGTAGATGTCAATTGGAAGATTGAATTCTATTCCAATTTCTTTCAGTAGACCTTGTAGCCAAACTATTTCAGCAACAGTAGCTGCAATACTTCTGTATTCAGCTTCAGCAGAGCTTCTAGATACAGTTGTTTGCTTCTTAGACTTCCAGGAGATCAGTGAATTGCCAAGTTTAATAAGATAACCAGTTACAGATCTTCTAGTATATGGTCATGCAGCTCAGTCAGCATCACAATAGGCCACTATGTTGTTGTTGTTGTTGCTTAATAAGATGCCTTGACCTGGTTAATTTTTGATATACCTGACAACCCTTAATGTTGCCTCCATATGAGATCTTTTTGGTTGTTGAAGAAATTGACTTAGTGTTTGAATACTAAATGATATATCAGGTCTAGTCATAGTTAAGTAGAGAAGTTTTCCCACTAGCCTTTGATAAGCTTTCTGATCTGCTAGTTGTTCACTTCCAGAATTCTGTCTTGTTGCAATGATCATCAAATTCCTTTGTTGTCAGTTTGATGTTTGTATCTAGTGGAGTGACAGCAGGTTTAGCAGCAGACAACCCAACTTCTGATATAAGTTCTAATGCATATTTCCTTTGATGCATTAGTATACCTTGTTTGGATCTAGCAAACTCTATACCCAGAAAATACTTCAAGTCTCCCAGATCTTTCATTTTGAATGTTTGCTGTAGTACAGTTTTTGTTTCAACTATCAGTTTTAGGCTATCCCCTGTTATTAACATATCATCTACATAGACTAATACAATAATAATTCCTTCTGATGTTCTTCTGATGAACAAGGAATGATCAAATTGACTTTGTTGAAACTGATTATTCAAGAGTGCTTCAGTTAGCTTTGCATTCCATTGTCTAGGGGCTTGCTTCAGGCCATATAGGGATTTAATGAGTCTGCACACAGGTTTATTCTCCTCCTGACTCTTAAATCCCTGTGGTAGTTCCATGTAGATTTCATCATACAAGTCACCTTGAAGAAAAGCATTGTAGACATCCATTTGGTGTATGTTCCAGTTTTTTGCAGCAGCAATAGCTAGGACTGTTCTAACTGTTTTCATCTTAACTACAGGAGAGAAAGTTTCTTGATAGTCAATACCTTCCTTTTGGCTATATCCCTTTGCAACTAGTCTTCCCTTAAACCTCTCAATTTCTCCTGTTGATTTGTATTTGATTTTGTATATCCATTTACATCCAATAGGTACTTTCCCTTCAGGTAATGATACAATGTCCCAAGTATGGTTTGTTTGCAAAGCATCAATTTCAGTTTTCATTGCCTCAATCCATCTAGGATCTTTAGTAGCTTCTAAATAAGACGAGGGTTCTGTCTCTACAGAAGTTGCTGCTATGTAAGCTTGATATGTAGAGGACAGTTGATCATAGGAAATGTACCTTGAAATAGCATATGGAATATCCTGATGAACATTTAGAGATGCAATGTCTTTTATCCAAATTGGAGGATGTTTATCTCTACTAGATCTTCTGCATTCTGGTTGTCCTGCATTCATAATAGGAAGACTTTGTGCCTGATCATTTATCTACTGCACTGCATTTGGTAGTAAGCTATCAGCTCTATGTTGTTGCAGTTCTAGTGAAGCATCATCATCTGCCTGATATATATAATCCATTGGATCAACTGGTATTTCCATATCTGTATTAGTAGGAGAATATGAGCTTTCTAGGTTACTTTCATTTATTCTAAGTTGATCTTGAT